TGCTGCATCTTCAAAAGTAAAATGGAAAAAAATTTTTTCATTACTTGTAAATGGACTTTATGCTTTTAATGACACTGAGTTTCGTCCAGGTCTTTCAGGCATTGGTGCAGGTATGATAAATATGACTGGAAGCAAAGCAGAACTATTAGATTGAAATCACAAGTTACTCATCAGCCCTAAAAAACACCAGGTCCTCACACGAAACATATTGATCATAAACAACATGATCTAAGAATTTATCTAGCCCAGTCTCTGACACTTTCCAAGGGGTGTCTCTAGTGCATGATGAAAGCAAGCTGTGCATCTTTTAACTGTTCTTTTAGACCACAGCTCACTTCCCTGTAGTGCTGGATCACAGGTCTATCTTGTCACTTTCAAGCCCTCTAAGGTTGGGGAAACTCATATAATTTATTTTATTTTAATCAAAAAAAACCCTTGCTGTTAGTGAATAATAAATGGGTTTGGTCACATCATGAAAAAAAGCAGGTTTGGTCAACAGCTTGGCAAGTGTAAATATACACACACTGGAAAGCATTCAATTTTACAATTGCTGAATCTCACTTTGTCCTTTCAGCTTATCCTAAAGCAGGCAGATTTTATCTGGGCCCATTCATATTCTGACCTGTGTTCTGTGTTTCCACTAAGCAGGTGATTACTTCCACTTTTTGCCTTCCCCAGTTCCAGAACACCCAACCCGTTCCCCGCCCCCCCCCAACTTTCCAAAGAGCAGTATCAGGCCCTCATGCCTGCATCAACTACTGAAATCCACAAGGTATTAACAGACACTTGCTATTAAAACTAGATTTCTCTTTCATCATTTATACTGCATTTAATCCCCCAAAGTCTTAAATACACCAAACTATCTATGAGAGGGTCTCTAGTCACCTTTAATCCCGTATTTCAACAGAAAAGAAGGATGCCTATAACTTTGCTCCCTGTTTGAACATAAGGATGGACTACTCACATTTGTTTCGTTAGGCAAACCCTTGGCTGAACACGGCTCCTCTCCAAAATAGCCTGATTTTCCTCACAAGCCTCTTTATAAACAATGATAGGACTTCTGAAGAACTCACTGCTAACACAACTCCTCCCCGTGCAGGTACTCAACAGGGATACCAAGTGCTCAAATGCTAGACAAAGATTTTCTTTACCACTTTCTTCTGCACCTATTTTTTGACGCTTCATTGTCAAAGCACTTCAACACTCAGCCTGAGAAGGAACATGCTCAGAAGATTTGCTGGTAAGGATACAGGCACCCAAGATCTTTCCTCAAGTTAAAAATCGATTCAGTAACATTCTAGGTCACTTCTCAGAAAACTCAGCAAAACCATGCTGAAACACTATGAACAGGATATCTTAACTGCAGGGATTAACATTTTGACATTTTACAACTTTCCATGGAATTCTGTGTTTTGGGTACAGAATATACAAAATTGG